GAGAGAGAGAGAGAGAGAGAGAGAGAGAGAGAGAGAGAGAGAGGGTTCATCTCTTTTAATGGCCCCTTTTGAAGGGTAGCACACATTCACATTTTCATATATGTGAAAGTTCAGAAACAGGTGGCCCAGTAATGGTCATATACAATTATATAACCCATTTATCCCATATCAGGTTCCACTTGGGGGCTAGCTTTTGCTTTCTTGTTTTCTCCCTTAAATGTCCATAGTTCACAAAATGGAAAGCTGGCCACCCCTGTGTGGGGACCCAGCATAGTTTTTCAGCATTCCTGAACTCTGAAAGTCCCAAATCTGGAGATGTGTTTTAGGCAGCGGAGTCTAAGAAACATTACTAGGTCATCCTGTTGCTGAAGAAATGAATCCTCAGATGTCCTGTCAGTTCCCAGAGTCATGAGAAAATGTTCTGACATGAAGCTGGTTCCTGAAGCATTCTTCAAATCATTTCCCAAATGAGTGACTTTATTATGAGAACTAGCCTTTCCCCAACCCCAAGGCAGCCAGCTACCATGTAAGCTCAAAAACCAGTGTCCTTAAAATGTCTCAGATTCTTAAAGACTAAATGCCTCTTATGAATTGGCTGAGATTGGTCATTTATTCTTTTGTCTTGCCTTTGTACCCAAGAATGTTTGTCTAGCTTCCCGACTTTTGTTTCTCCAAGCCAGCTCCCCAGGGTATTACCAGCCAGATAGATGAAAACCAATTTACTTTATAATAGCCTGGGTTGTCTCTCTTCCTGGATGTAATCCACAGGGCCAATTGGAAATATCTAAACTGTAGCACTTTTTTGGAGGGTAATTTCTTGTGTTTTATGGGGTTTTTGCCCATTTGTTGTATCCTACATGTACCATTTAATCTATGTGTGCACACAATACTCAGACCCTGTAATTGTGGTAATTGTTTATCAGTAGAAAATTAGTGTTTAGGGGAGATGCCTGTTCTTAATTGTGGGCTCTTCATAGGCAGCCGGCAGTCCCTCTGTGAGATTTAGTGGTTCATGATCTTACTCATTTTGATATTCCTGGGCAAGCTGTCTGTGAGGGTTAGTTTTAATTATCAACTTGCCACAACTTAGAATGGCCTGAGCAGGGAACCTCAGTTGAAGAATTACTTTGGCTGTGTTAATTAACCTGGAAAGACCCACTCCAAATGCCATGGCTCCTTCTGGTAGCTGTCCAGATAAAAAACACCCAGAAGGAGGAAGTGTTCACCCTTTGCTTGCCTGACCTTCCCTTTGCCACTGAGTTAATTTACCCCATTGCTGCTTCTGATTTTTGAGAAATAATTGGCTTTTCCCAGTTTCCACTGTGGACTGAAGACCACCAGCCTTGTAGACTGACAAACTACCAGGAAGTCAGCCTCTTCAAGTAGCCACTAGGGTAGTGCTGCCAAAGCGTCCAACCTCAGGGACTAAGAACCAATCAAGTTCTCAGCCTCTTAGGTGTAAGGTAGCTGTCATTGAACTACTTTGACTATACCACATAAGCCAACTTAATAACTTTTTAAATTTTGTTTTAATTTTATGTGTCTGAGTGTTTTGTCTGCATGTATATATGCCCCACATAAGTGCCTGGTGTCTGAAAAGACCAGAAGGCATTGGGTTCCTTGGAAATGGAGTTGCAGACTGTCTCAAGTTGTCATGTGGGTGCTGGGAACCAAACCAAGATCTCCAAGAACAGCAAGTGCTTCGGCTGACCTCTGAGCCTCTCTCCAGTCCCTAATAAGTCATCTTAAAATGTGTATAATTTCATTCTGTTGTTTCTATTCCTAGAGAACCTCAATTCACAGTCTTATGTGAATTTGCTTTTCATTGGCAGTGTGCAGTGTGCAGCATCTTGTGGTTCAGGCAACCACTGTATGGGACCAATGGGGTGTTGCATGCCCTTGCTCTGGTAGTGCTTGCTTTAATCTTCCTTGGCTCCAGCTTGATAACTGATATTTAGTGAGCTATCCCAGCCTTCAGTTGTCCCCCCAACCCATACTCCAAGGCACACCTAGGATTCCTTCTTCCCTCTATCTTCCATGTGGTATATATTATTTATTAAAGCTTGCCTGAGGGTCAGAAAGCAAA